AAACTGGCAGAACACGAAATAGGTAAAGTAGTTTAGGGAGATAAGTCATACGGATTGCATTAATTCTGCCGAACCATGATAACGGGAAATGAGACCAAGAGGACAAGAGTTCGGTCAACTCATGAAAGACAGTGGGGAAGTTAGCCTGGTATAGTCCATCATATGTCGGGGTAAGCTTAATTCCTAGATATGGTAAGGCTGAAAGCCATTGGAAGGGGAACGTTTGCTTCAAAGTAGTCAAAAGTGATGGTGGGAGGGTAACTGACATAGCTCTTGATTTAGCTGGATTGACATGTAAACCTGAGAGGGTGGCAAAGGAATCGAGAACTGCAAGTAAATTAGGCAAAGTAATCCCCGGGTTTGAAATTGACAATAATATGTCATCCGCAAACAACGACAATTTATGTTGGGAGCCTGCCACATCGATTCCCTTAATATCAGGATGTATACGGATTGCTTCTGCCAACGGTTCCAGGGCTAAAATAAAAAGTAAAGGGGAAAGCGGGCAGCCCTGCCTAGTACCTCTGGCAACCGAGAACGTAGAAGACTCAAATCCGTAGTATCTAAGCTTCGCTTGAGGGGATGTATATAGCGAAGAGATCCATCGTAAGAAGGAAGGGCCAAAGCCAAAACGATGGAGGACCGACAGGAGATACGGCCAGGATAAAGTGTCAAAGGCCTTATTGATGTCTAAGGATAAGAGCATCATATTGATTTTACGAGTATGGGCCAAATGTTGCAGTTGTAAAATACGTCTGATAGCATCTCCGGCCTGCCTATGGGGAACAAATCTCCACCTGGTCCTTTTTAATCAGACGAGAAAGGAAGGAATTCAATCGAGTAGCCAAAATCTTAGTAAGAATCTTCATATCAATATTGATAAGAGAAATAGGCCTCTAATTTAGCCCAGGAAGAATGGTCTCGATCCGGTTTAGGGATCATAACCACATTAGCAGTTAAAGAGTCCGGGGAAAAATTCGAACCTCCCTTCACCGCATTAAACATAGCGGCAAGGTGGGGAGCAAGCACATCAGCTAATTTCTTATAATATAATGCCGTGTATCCATCAGGACCTGGGCGTTTGCCCGTTTTCAGTTCTGCTATACATTGTAAAACCTCAGATACTTGGATATTACGGTCCATCAAATCCTTATGGGCCGACGTTAAAGTAGGTAAGGGCAACCTAGATAAAAAGTCAGAAATAGACTGAGGGTCGGCCCGGGTGGGATCAGAGTAAAGTTTAGCTAGTCTGTGCCGGAACTCCTCTAAAACCGTTACTGGGTTGCTCGTAAGAGTATTGTGACGAGTACGTAAAGATATCGGTTTGGGGTGTTGCGCAAAAGAACGCAATCTACGGGCCAACATAGAGTCTGGTTTGTTAGCTTTGCTATACCACTTCTGGCGAGTCCAATGTAAGGAGCGTTCAGCCTCATCTGTTAGGCATAAATCCAATTCTAAGCGAGCCTGATCCAAGAGTCTATGATTTGACGGGGAAGGTGACTGTTTAAACTGGGCTGACACGGAAGCTAACTTCAATTCTAACTGACGTTGCTTAAGCTGTCTTTCTTTCTTTCGCCTTGAAGCTATATGGATAATATGTTCCCTAAGAACTGCCTTGTATGCTTCCCACAATGTTACCGAAGAAGAGACAGAACCCGAGTTTAATTGAAAATATTCCTGAGACTTACTATGTAGCTCCGTCTGAATCTCCTTCAGTGAAAGCAAGGAGTCATTCATTGTCCATGAAGAGAAGGTCATCCTGCAAAGGAGAGATCGACAGACCACCAAAATAGGCTCATGGTCTGACCATGGGACTGTTAAGATAGAAATAGAACGAACCAAAGGGAGGTGTTTACGTGAAACGAAGGCATGATCAATTCTAGAATGAGAATGATGGGGATGTGAATAATAAGTGTAGTCTTTCCCCTGAGGATGAAATTCACGCCATAAATCTACCAGGTCATGGGTAGTTAACGTCCGTGCAAAGGACTTCGCTGATGTGGAAGGGTCAGAGCGCTCCGCTGGATATTTATCTAGTGCAGGATTTAAACACTAAATTTGAATCCCCCGCCATCAGAAGCGTACTCCTTTGATGCGTGGCCAGGAGAGAACAGAGATGTGATAGAAAAGGTCCAGGGTTGACCTTAGGAGCGTAATAGGACATAATGGTAACCTCTATTCCATGGATCGTACCCTGGAGCAGAAGGTATCTGCCATTGGGATCAGCAATACGCTTCACACAGACAAATGGAGTTCTACTATGGAAAGCAACCAGTACACCTCTCTGTATAGTGGGACCAGTAGCTTGAAATATCTGAGAGTAACGTGCATCAAAATATTTTGGGGCAGAAGTAGTGGAGAAGTGGGTTTCTTGCAAACAAGCAATGTCAACTTGGCGAGCCTGAAGAAACTTAAATATCTTTACCCGTTTCTGTGGAGAGTTCATCCCCTGGACATTCAGCGATAACCAGTTCAACGACATGGAAATTTAAAAGGAAGGAAGATAAAATCCGCCACGATCCCCGGGAGCCCTGGAAACAAAAATTTGCAAAAACACAAAACATACATGACAAAAGACAAGGAGAAAGAAACTAAGAAGAAAGGAGAGGACAAGAAGACCTCTAATATACAAGCAAGATATCTGTAAATCATGGAGAGTGATTCAAACAATATAGTAATCACCTGTGGGTAAAACACCCACATAAAGGCTAGGTAGCGGGCGGGACAGAAGACCAGACCGCTAGCCAGCTCGAAGGGGGACACGACCATCCACAGGAACAACTCAGCATTGATATAGAATATATAAACATTATACAAACAACTGAGGCTAATACACCTGTGAATAGGCAATCCAAAACTCGCGGGACAATGAAGATCTCAACCAATCAATGCAGAGAAAAGTAACATCCACTCTTGATTGGAAGAGATAAGACACACGGAAATATGAAATCCCTGAACAAATCTAGACTCAAGTCCAGAAAGTGGCAGCAAAAAAAAGAAAAGAAAAAAAAAAAAAATCCACATGGGACTAAGCTACATACTGGCGGCCAGCTTCCAAACATCAGGTCGCAGAGATTTCCTGAAAGCACTGGGCCTGTAGGGATCGAAGAGCCTGTGAACCGCTTTGACTAGGAGGAGATTTATGCGAAGACTGGGAATTTTGAGGACGCGTAGGTATTAAAGTCTCCTCACTCTGGGATTGTGGCAACTCCAATTTGAGCTCCCGAAAGTGACGCCGGAGATCCGCTGGCGAAGAAGCTTGGAATTGACACCTTGAAAGGAGAATGAAAGCTTGAAAGGGAAGCCCCATCTGTACTTGATATCAGCTGACTGAAGAATCCAAAGATAAGGCCTCAAGGAACGACGTTTGGCAATTGTGACTGGGGACAGATCCGCGAACAGATGGACAGAATGACCTTGAAACTCCAAAACTGAACGATTCCGAGCTGCCTGCAGTAGACGTTCCTTAGTGCGATAGAAGTGGAATTTAATAATAATGTCTCTGGGAGTACCCTCCGTGGGCTTAGGTGCTAGAGCTCTATGGATACGATCAAACTCCAGATGTTCCATAGGAATCTCAGGGGCCAGCTCCTGGAAAAGAGCAGTTGCAGTGCCCTGCAGATCGGTGATTGCCTCCGGGATTCCGCGGATGCGGAGATTATCCCTGCGAGCTCTACTCTCAGCATCCTTCAACTTATCTTTCAAAGTATCCAGCTCAGCATGTAGATCCTCCACTTCTTGTTCGTGACCCTCCAAGACTGTAGTTGCCAGATCCATGCGTTGTTCCAACTGATGGGCGCGGAGACCCAACTCTTTTAGGCCTCTCGCCAGGTCAGAAGATAATTTACGTGAGGCAATAGTAATCTCCTCTTGCACACTATAGTGCGAAATTTGTGTAATAAGGCTTCGGGATCATGTTCAAGAGGATCAACCATCCCCGACGGGAATTGCCGCTGACTATCACCATCAGACTCAGGGTCTCCTGGAAGTTGGGTGTTATCATCAGGCTCAGGCGGGCTAGGTATCAACTTGGCAATGTGGCCCTGTGAAGGGGATTGCTGTTTGGCCCGGTGTTTAAGTTTAGTGCGGGGAGTACGGTGCATTGCCGAAAGCGGTCCACAGATTTCCAAGTCGCCCTCGGACTATTGAAGTGTTATGTTAGGGTGTAGAAGCCCAATGGCCGAGATGAATGTCTCGGTGGCACGGCCCAAGGAGGTCACTCTGACATTTCCCCCCTGGTACGTGTACGTGTCCCCCACCGGGGAGGTATTCACAGAAGGTTCAACATAATGCAACAGTCAGTGAAAGATAGATGGTTATGGTATATAGGCCAGGTATGCAGGCTGTGTATAGGTTGCCAAAAAATATCCCAGGCACCCCTGATTTATCCACTGGGGAAGGGGGCTATGCAAAAGGATGCCTTCCCCCATCCAGCACCCGTCCTGTAGCAGGTCAGACCTCCAGTATCCTGCCAGGATCCTGCAGGGACATAGAATAGTCCACCGAGCCACCAGGAGGACTATGGGAGCCCACCCAGCCTGCCCCAATAGCTGACCTGACTCCAAAGGTTGGCGGGCAAGGTGATAGTGCGGCGGTCCGGCCGCGATGGCGATCCGCTCCGGTCGCGGATCTAGGAAACACCGCGGCTTCACACGCCGCGGTAGGCCTCAATCCGCCCCGTGCCCCAGGAGCTCAGAGAAGGGGCAGAGCAGCTCGACACCCCTCCTCAGATGTCAGGTAGAGTCTGGGCAGCCGGGGATCCTTCGGGGCAGCCTCCGTACCCCGGATGGCAACGGATGGAGGATCAGGGTGCCGGCTTCAGAAAGAAGCGTCTGCTCCCGGCGCCATCTTGGACACGCCAACCGTATAGTTCTTTTTTATACTATCATTTGGTATTACCATTAATTAGAAAAAGAGAGGAAGGTGCCTCTAAGTGCAGTATTGACAATTTATTTAGTAAACAATGGATAAATTGCACTTACAAGATAAACGGTTAAAAAGACTCATCGTGTGGTAATTAGATCCAGGTGGGACATCCAGCCGTCCAGCAGCAAACTATGTCTATAGGATCAGGAAGTAGAGTCCAGGATGTGCCTGTGCATCAAAAATGAAGCTTGGAGAGCAGAGTCAGATGTAGCAGGTGAAGGGGGCGTCTGAAGAAGGAGCCTATTGAGCATGCTCCGAAATGCATTACCGCCCCCTTCACCTGCTACATCTGACTCTGCTCTCCAAGCATCATTTTTGATGCACAGGCACATCCTGGACTCTACTTCCTGTTCCTATAGACATAGTTTGCTGCTATACGGCTGGATGTCCCACCTGGATCTAATTACAACACGATGAGTCTTTTTAACTGTTTATCTTGTAAGTGCAATTTAGCCATTGTTTACTAAATAAATTGTCAATACTGCACTTAGAGGCGCCTTCCTCTCTTTATCTTGTTACTGCATTAGAGCCTTGCTTTCACTCTAAGAAGAGCTGCCTCAGTGTTACTGCTCCCATCCATCCATCCCTGATATCCATCTGGCACCTTTATCTTACAGCTACATAGGTTGGGCTCCAACAAGCACTCCCTATATAATATACTGTACATATTACCATTAATTGTCTGCATAATATTTGGATCTTTCCCAGTCTTACCTGTCACATTGGTCTTTGTTCCATGGGATTTGACATACATACATTCCTTGGAAAAATTTATATCTCAAATGTACCACTCTATTTCCTTGAGTTGTTACATCCATTACTGAGTGAAATTCTATTTGTTCCATACATTGGCCTGCTCAAGACACGGTCAGTTTCATCTCTTGATATATCCTTTATGGACTATTCTTGAATGCATATTCTTTTATTAGGTATGTCCCTTTTGGTCTGATGATTTGGAATTTAATATATTCTGTTTTTCATACCATCTTTAGTCCCATTGGGGGGATTTTCTGGTGCCCCTCTGTCAGTCTTTGTTGTCTGGTGACTTACATCTGATCACTCTTACCCACTTGGATGATGCACCCCACTGGAACATAGTGTCCAGCCTCACATCTCGGAAGTCATCCTCTCTTTTGCTCTGACATATGCTTTTGTATGTAAAAAATTATTTGGTTATGTGATAAAAAATGATATATTTTTGATTATCTGTTTATTTATTTTTTGGTATACTTATTTATGATTGCTTATATATCTACTAGAAAGTCCTTTGTCTCTCATGTCCCCTGAGGAAGATCTAGAATGTGGAATGATCGAGACGTGTTGGTGTTTCTTCTTTTTTTTTCTGTGTGGTTTCATATTCTTGTATTGAGAGTTCTCTTGTAAGAATACTGTCAGAGCAATATTCTTTTTAGAAATCATGTATTTAATATTGTAATGGAAATGTGTATGTAATAAAGTTGGTAAAAATCTTTTTTTAACCAAATGTCTCTTTCAATATACGTATGATCCTATTGTGCATTAAAGTCCCACTGGGGGTTCTTTGGGTAGATGTAACTGATTATAAACTTTTAGCTGGAGTTTGGCTTCAATTTATCAGTGTATTTAAATCTGACAGTACATGTAACACTCCCCTCCCCCCAGACTGAAAATGCTGGTGTCCATATGTGCCCTCCTGTGCTCCCTCATCCAGAGTGGGGGCGCTCTAAAACAGGAGGTGTGTTACTGGCTAGATCACCAGGTGAAAACAGGGAAAAAAAATGCTTAAAAAAAACAAAAAAACCCAGCCCCCCCCCAAGGAAAAAAAACTTATGCAGCCACCACATATAATGAGTGGTAAGCTGCAATATACATTACATTTTTGGTCTTGAAAGTGTATTTAACTCCCCCCCGTAAAAAAATCACTATATGGTAGCTTATCATTCCTTTGGTTTATTTAGAGTATTGTTTTTTTTCATGCAGGCTTTCTTTACATTTATTTGTACCCAGTGATCCTGCTAGTGATGGAATACCTAGCATCTTCCTGTCCTAGAATGGTAAAGGTTACCGAGTGTCTCTGTATGGCGGAACCAAGGATGTGCATTCCCACTGTAGAATACAACCCAACATCCTGGTGGTCCTTCCAGTCCAAATAACTTGAAGAGGGACAACCATAAATAATACTATCTTAATCACATTAATACTCTGTGGGAAGCAGAGCAAAGCAGCATGGGATGTATAGTCCTGGCTGAGCTGGCCATGTCCCTCCAAACAGATGTGCACCTGAGGCTAGGATCAGAATTAGCCATGAAGAGTTACAAAACTGTACAAGAAGCATGGCACTGACATTTATGTTTATTATTATTATTTTCTTTTTAGAATAAAAACAGGCATTGTTGATATGTTTTAAAGGTGTAGTTTCCAGGGTTTCCATCTTGATTCTGGTTTCATCGCCCAATGTGTCTTTGACCTAGATTGTGCATGCAGACAGTGAAATCTGGAAAGTCTGAATTCCCTTTTGGCATGCTCTTTCCAGGTCATTGACTCACTAGGTTTTGAAGCCAGGATGATAGGCATAAGTAGACATGTACACACTGCAAATTTTCGTTTCGTGTGCATACATTTATTGAAGAATTTAGTTTCATTGGTCTGGGTGGATTTGAGAATTTTGCAGTTTTTTTTTTGGAAGACTGCTATATATTAGTTTTTGGTTATGATATTTTGAGTGGATTCATATATCGAAACTAATCAATATTTTCGGACTCAACAGAATAAATATAATGTAAAATTTGGCAGCTCCAAATTTTTCAAGCCTAAGAATTGCATTAAACTGTGGAACTGAACTGAATTGACTGACTGCAGTTTATTTACTGAAGCAGGAGAATGTAAAATCAGGCTCACTTATGCATAGAAACCAATCAGATTCCAGGTTTTATTGCCAAAGCTTCATTGATCAAGATGAGGTTAGAAGTTGACTGGTTTCTATGCAGAAGTATGCCTGATTTTGCACTCTCCAGCTTTAGAAAATAAATTCCACTGTGACAATTACAAAGTCAGTTTAAATCACAAATGTACTCAAATCCAAATTACCGAACACATTTGAAGTTGTAATTCATTTTTCCATAGGCCTAAACTACTATCACATTATGTGACATCATCTGAATGAAACAAATAAAACAAATGCATTTGTTAATTTCATTATAACTTTTTTTGGATTCATTGACATTCTGTCCACTTGGAGATTTGTATACATCCAAATCTCTGGAAATATAATTTTCATCCGAAAATCAATTCATTACGAAATGAAACACACATGTCTAGCCCTGTAGCATCTTTAAAAAATGAATCAATGATGGTAGTTTCCAGGACTCCTTTAAGGCTAAGTGTAACTAACAAAGTTGCAGTTCTGCTTGGAAATTTAAAAAGTATGCAGTGTAGGGGGCTTGTTGAGAAGGAGTGCTCTGGATTATGAAGTTATTTATTGAGCTGTAATATGTAAATAGATTGTAATAAACTAGTTTTTAAACAACCCCCTGTTTTTGTGGTACGGGATTTACATTTTAGACTAGTCATTTATTAGACTCGGATGTGGTTTAAGTGAGCTGAATTCCTGATCTTTTAAATGATTGTGGTTGAAGTTTAGAAATGAAAATTTGATCTTAGTTGATTATCAGGACAGGTTGGGAAAAAGTAGCCTGGAATCAGAAAAATACATTAGAAAAACCAAAACTACCGTGCAAAACAAACATATATTGCCATCATGTCATTATAATTACTTGATTTTTGACATTTCATATTTCCAGCTAGCAGGTGGAGCACTTGGCCCTTTTTCTCAAGATAACCTTGATGTAGTTCTAAAGCCAAGGCATTTTTTACCTTAATGTTGTGTGTGTGTCTATAGAAACAAACAGCCCAGATCGGTAACGAGCCACATGTCTGCCTCCATAGCAAGCACTTGCTATGAAGGCAGACACAGAAGAAGATATGTGGAGAGAGAGAGCAGCACTGCTGTTCTTGGGCACAGCGCTGGATAGAGTTTGGACTCAGGTAAGTATATATATAATACATATATATGGGGACTGGAAGGAAAATGATCAAAGAAGGTTTTTTACATTAATGCAGAGAATGCATTAATGTAAAACCCTTCTGCCTTTACAACCACTTAAAGCTCCAAAGAAAGCATATGGGAATGTTCACATGCCATGATGTTTTGCTGCATGTGTGTAGCAAAAGGTATCCCCCTGTTGTGTTTGGTTGGTAGTACCACTGCCAGACACGACCTATTCCTGTGAATAGGGACGCACCATGGAGACATTGATTGTTTGTTTGTATTTGGATATGTATTCACTATGCTAGGTGTACATTCCCTACTCCTTTTGCCCTGCTGACATACATTGCAAGTATTAGCAACAAAGCATAGCCATTGTATAGCACAACAAAGAAACAAGTCAATTATGCACATGTAATTAAGTAGATATGTATACATTAATAAAATATATGCAATAATAAAGAGCTAATAATATTATACATATGTAGTGCTACACATTACATGCACAGTTGTGCTCAAATGTTCGCACACGTTATCTACACGCTAGCAGAAATAGTTTTTTTCATACCCTGGAATTGGGACCTTTGGCCTTGCTACAGACACACAAGGTGACACACATACAGGTTAAAATGCCAATGAAAGGTAATTTCCCACATCTGTGACTTTTAAAATTGCAATTAATGCTGTGTATAAATTAGTCAATGAATTTGTTATTTCTCACTTGTGGTTGCTACTGAGCAGGTTTGATACAGAGTCATGGGAATCAGAAAGAACTGTCAAAAGACCTGTTTAACAAGGTTTGATTCAGAAGTAATGGAAATTTATAAAGATGTATCAGTCATATTTTCAATATTATTGCCAAAATTTCACGATTTCTGCTAGGGTTTGCAAACTTTTGAGCTTGACTGTAAATACAAGGATTTAAACTTTGAAGCCTATACTCCACTCTCTAACCCTTCTAGACAGCTGTTCAATTTTCCTTATCTGGAGAAGTCAGTTATACTCACCTGAGTCTCCCCATCCATGTTCCTCCCTGACATAATTTCCATCTGCAGGGACCGCTAACCCAACACCACACATTACCTCTCGCAGTCTGGTCTCCTTCACTCCTCTCGGTCCAATGTCACATATCTTCTAGAACCTAAGAGAAATCCAACAGGAAATACGAGAGAAGAAGAACCCAGCGCTGAATGATCATGTGACCATGGTATTGGGTAAGTAAAAGAGGGAAATCTTTTTTCAACGCTGCAATCAGAGAGATAGGGTCGAGACGGAGGAGTGGGAGGACAGTTAATTTTATCTCAGAATTGAGCTTTAACACAGTGATATGAATGCTAACTTACAGTTTATTAGGTAAATCTGTTTTGCATGTATATCTGAAAAAAAC